GTGCCACACCCCCGTAGCCGAAGCGATGGCCTCCTCGTAGTACCTCGTGGCCTCAGGGTAGATGATACCAATACCAGAGCCAGGGAGGACGTCGTGGAACTGGTTGAGGAGGACCTTCTTCCACGCGCTGTCCAGGGACTCCAAGGAACTGAGGGAGTGAGGAGAGGGTGTGGGGAGGACATAGGGAAGTGTAGGGAAAGAAAGAGAGAGGGGGAGACGGAGGGAGGAAGAGGGGAATTTTGGGAGGGATTTAGGGAGGGAAAGAGGGAGAAAGGGAGAGAGGGAGAGAGGGATAGGGGGAAGGGGAGAGGGAGAGGGAGAAGGAGGGAGTGGGGAGAGAGAGAAGAGAAAAGAAGAGATAGAGAAGAGAGAGAGAAGAGGAGAGAGAGAGAGAGAGAGAGAGAGAGAGAGAGAGAGAGAGAGAGAGAGAGAGAGAGAGAGAGAGAGAGAGAGAGAGAGAGAGAGAGAGAGAGAGGCGAAAGTAAGAAAGGGAGAGAGAGATTGATAAATAAAGAAATCGTGTAGAAGTAAAAGGGTCAAAGTAGCATTTAGATACAGGAAGTTTTGTATTGAAAAGCGACGGCAAATCGAATGCACTAACACGGCACAATACAGATGCTGATGATCTATGAATACGTTGCCATCGACCTGTATTTAGTACTGTATCAACACTTTGAAATACGTGTTCCAGTTCGAAGGGTACACTGGGTGTGGCAAAATTACATAACTTAATACCATAAAATACAGATATGTACTGTAACTTAGGGTTCAGCGACATCGATACCTAAATATCACATTTTCATGAATACAGGACGACCGGTGGACCTTCTCGTCCCATAGATTTTGTATTGGTGTGGTATTTGTAAGATATTCCCTGTTATGATTGGGGACACTCCTAGGCCCTGTTACACATTACATGGGTACATCTACAGCTACACGTATATACGGTACACGCTCCTATAAACACACATGCAATGCATGCTCCTCTAAACACACCTAGAGACATGCATAAACATAGCTAAGACTCATGAATGTATAAATATACTTAGGATTACGCAGGCACAATCACGCACACACACACACACACACACACGCACGAAGACCCCGCACACGCATACATGAACACACACACACACACACACACACACAATGCCTTTCTTTCCTTCACACACACGTGGAAAGTTCCAAGGTGACTGAACCAGCTAACAACCTGACCTTCAATAGAATATATATACAGAAATAAGAAGAAAAAAGAAAAGAAAAGAAAATAACATCGACTGAGCTAGATCATTCTCTTTTGGTAATTGTTAATTGAATATATGATGGGAGTGATATTGAAGAAAAAAATTCGAAAGGAAGATACGTGGAATACTTGAAACAATAGAGCAAAAAACCGTTCTCCTTGAGTTAGATTTTAGATGACGTTAAAGTAGGTACGAACTAGGATTACTTATATTTTATATATTTCTGGATTTCTAACTTATAATTCACATAATATGATCAACCAGAATTAATGATAATGATACAGATATTAATAGCAGCATCTATGATAGTAATGTGAAAGGTAACAAGGATAATAAAAGCAATGATGATGATAATGATAATAACAATAGTAATGATGATAATAATTATAACGATATAAACAATGATAATACTATTGGTAGTATTACTAATACTGTATTAGTAATCACACTGAGAATAGAATAATGATAATGATATCAGCAATAATAATAGTAGTAGTAATAATAGCACTACAGCAGTATCAGCAGTAGTTCTAGGAACAACAACAGCAATTCCTACCTCCCACTACTACTACTATTTAGTACCTTTAGCCAATGATCATGGATAATGATAATAATAACAATGATGATGAAACTGATACCATTATTGCTATCACTACCAATAACGAAAATATGAGAGATCGAAAAAGATACTAAAATAAATATATACTTTCAACTTCTACTTTTACAACAACAATCACAGCATGTAAACCATCCTCCCTAAACAAAATACTAAGAACTATCATAAGAATAATAAAACAAAAAGCAAACAAAAAAAACAAAATAACTAACAACAAAAGCAACATCGAAATAACCGTAACCAAATAACTAACCGCAAGAACCACACACAACCATAACCGCAAGAAACCATAACCGCAAGAAACCACACATAACATAACCGAAGCAACCACACATAACCATAACCAAGAAACCACACATAACCACCACATAACATAACCACACAGCAAGAACCACACATAACCACCACACATAACCAAGAAACCACACATAACCGCAAGAAACCACAAGCAAGAAACCACACATAACCGCAAGAAACCACACATAACCGCAAGAGTAACCACACATAACGCAAGACCACACATAACCGCAAGAAACCACACATAACCGCAAGAAACCATAACCGCAAGAAACCACACATAACCGCAAGAGCATAACCATAACCGCAAGAAACCACACATAACCGCAAGAAACCACACATAACCGCAAGAAACCACAAATAACCGCAAGAAACCACACATAACCGCACCACACATAAAAGAAACCACACATAACCGCAAGAAACCACACATAACCGCAAGAAACCCGCAAGAACCACACATAACCGCCACACATAACCGCAAGAAACCACACATAACCGCAAGAAAACCACACATAACCACAAGAACATAACCAAGAAACCACACATAACCGCAAGAAACCACACATAACCATAACCGCAAGAAACCACATAACCGCAAAAACCACACATAACCGCAAGAAACACAAATAACCGCAAGAAACCACACATAACCGCAAGAAACCACACATAACCGCAAAGTAACGCAAGAAACCGAACATAACCGCAAGAAACCACACATAACCGCAAGAAACCACACATAACCGCAAGAAACCACACACATAACCGCAAGAAACCGCAAGAAAACCACATAACCACCGCAAGAAACCACACATAACCGCAAGAAACCACAAATAACCGCAAGAAACCACAAATAACCGCAAGAAACCACACATAACGCAAGAAAACCAACATAACCGCAAGAAACCCACACATAACCGCAAGAACCATAATAACGCAAGAAACCACACATAACCGCAAGAAACCGCAAGTAACCACAAATAACCGCAAGAAACCACACATAACCGCAAGAAACCACACATAACCGCAAGAAACCGCAAGAAACCACACATAACGGCAAGAAACCACACATAACCGTAACCGCAAGAAACCACACATAACCGCAAGAAACACAAAAACCGCAAGAAACCACACATAACCGCAAGAAACCACACATAACCGCAAGAAACCACACATAACCGCAAGAAACCACAAATAACCGCAAGAAACCACACATAACCGCAAGAAAAACCACACATAACCGCAAGAAACCACACATAACCGCAAGAAACCACACATAACCGCAAGAAACCACACATAACCGCATAACCGCAAGAAGCAAGAAACCACACAACAAGAACCACACATAACCAAGAACCACACATAACCACCACAGAAACCACACATAACTGAAACCACACATAACCAAGAAACCACACATAACCGCAAGAAACCACACATATAACCGCAAAACACATAACCGCAAGAAACCACACATAACCGAGAAACCACACATAACCGAACCACAGAAACCACACATAACCGTAAGAAACCACACATAACCGCAAGAAACCACAAATAACCGCAAGAAACCGCACAACTCACGTCTGGAGAAGAGCCGACGCGGCGACACCCAACGAAGCCGAAGCAGCACTCAGGAGGAACTCAGCGTCGCGGAGGTGGAACTCAGCGCTCCTACACAGCCTCTTCATGTCCGCCTGGAGTGTGGAAGGGAGGAAGGGTGGAAGGGAGGAAGGGTGGAAGGTGGAAGGGTGGAAGGATGGAAGGATGGAAGGTGGAAGGGTGGGAAGGTGGAAGGGTGGAAGGGAAGGGTGGAAGGGTGGAAGGGTGGAAGGGTGGAAAGGTGGAAGGGTGGAAAGGTGGAAGGGGGAAAGGGTGGAAGGGAAAGGGTGGAAGGTGGAAGGATGGAAGGAGGAAGGGTGGAAAGGTGTGGAAAAGGTGGAAGGGTGGAAGGTGGAAGGTGGAAGGGTGGAAGGGTGGAAGGTGGAAGGGAAGGATGGAAGGGGGAAGGTGGAAGGGGGAAGGGTGGAAGGTGGAAAGGTGGAAGGGTGGAAGGATGGACAGGTGGAAGGGTGGAAGGATGGAAGGGTGGAAGGGGAAAAGGTGGAAGGGTGGAAGGGTGGAAAGGGGAAGGTGGAATGGAAGGGTGGAAGGAAGGGTGGAAGGGTGGAAAGGTGGAAGGGTGGAAAGGTGGAAGGGTGGAAAGGTGGAAGGGTGGAAAGGGTGGAAGGTGGAAGGAAGGTGGAAAGGTGGAAGGGTGGAAGGGTGGAAAAGGGTGGAAGGTGTGGAAAGGATGGATGGAAGGGTGGAAGGATGGAAAGGTGGAAGGGTGGAAGGTGAAAGGTGGAAAGGTGGAAGGGGGAAAGGTGGAAGGTGGAAAGGGTGGAAGGTGTGGAAGGAGGAAGGTGGAAAGGTGGAAGGGTGGAAGGATAGTGGAAAGGATGGACAGGTGATGGAAGGATGGATGGAAAGGTGGAAGGTGGAAGGGTGGAAGGTGGAAAGGTGGAAGGTGGAAGGTGGAAGGGTGGAAGGTGGAAGTGGAAGGGTGAAGGTGGAAGGAAGGATGGAAGGTGAAAGGTGGAAGGTGGAAGGTGGAAGGGGAAGGTGGAAGGTGGAAGGGTGGAAGGGTGGAAAGGTGGAAAGGTGGAAGGTGGAAGGGTGGAAGGGTGAAGGTGGAAGGTGAAAAGGTGGAAGGATGGAAGGATGGAAGGTGAAGGGTGGAGGATGAAGGTGAAGGTGGAAAGGTGGATGGAAAGGGTGAAAGGTGGAAAGGGTGAAGGATTGGAAAGGTGGAAGGTGGGAGGGTGGAAAGGTTGGAAAAGGTGGAACGGAAGGTGGAAAGGGTGGAAGGGTGGAAAGGTGGAAGGAAAGGTGGATGGTGAAGTGGGTTACCTTTTGTTTTAGATTGGTGTTCAAGTGTTTTTTTTCGTTTTATCATTTTGTTATTGTTATTATGGGTAATATCGCTGGCTGTTTTTGTTTTTGTTTTTATTCTGAGTGTCATTGTCATAAATAACATTTTTACCCGTATCATTGTCATCTATATTATTACAATTATCATTATCATTACCGCTATCATTGTCATTATAATCACTATCATTGTTATTATTATGATTTTTATCGTTATGATTATTATCATAACCGTTATCATTACCGTTATCATTATCACACATCATAAATTATCATTATTGTTGTTATTATCATTATCAATATTACTGCTGTCATTACTGTCATTATCATCATAACTTTTATTATTACTGTTATTGCTATTACTGTTATTGTCATTATTAACATCCTTATCATTATTATAAATATTGTTATAATCATCATTATTATTATTATCATTATCACTGTTGTTTTTATCATAATCATTATCATTATTGTTATTATTACTGCCATGGTAATTATTATCAGTATTACTGTTATTATTTTTCACTATTTTCATTGTTGTTATCATTATCATTATTGTTATAATTATTTTAATTATAATCGTTAGTAGCATTGTTATTATTACCATTACTATTATTGTTATTATCATCATTATTATTAATAATATTACAATTTTTATTATCATTGTTATTATCATTATGATTGTAATTATTATTATTATTACCGTTATCATTATCATCATTATTATCATTATCATTATATCATTATCATTATCATTATCATTATTATCATTATCAGCATTATTATTATTATTATTATCATTATAATTGTCATTACTATTATTATCATTATTATTGGTATAATAATTACCATTATTACTACTATTATTAATAGTATCATTATCACTTTTATCATTATCATTATTATTAGGTCTATTGTCATTATCATTGTTATCATTATCATCATCATCATTACTATTGATATTGGCATTATAAGTATTATGATCATTATCATTATTTCGCTTACTCAGTCACTCATAGCAATAATACGAAAGCACAAATGCAGCATCATTTACACCCAATTAGAAACATATGATTAATGATAATTACTGAAAAATGAGATCCATTCCACCTAATTTTGCTTAATGGCTTGATTATTCACGCCGATTTCTACACCTGATTTGCATTAATATTTGAAATAAAATTTAACTGTGGTCGGACTGTGATGCTGCCCTTTGCATAAGCCCATACCCGTCCATCCGCGCGCTCGCTCGCTCTCTCTCTCTCTCTCTCTCTCTCTCTCTCTCACACACACACACACACACACACACACACACACACACACAGTCACTATACACTACAGTGTATACACAATCATTCAAAACCCATTTCTCAACAACCTAATATTTCATTCAATAAATACCCTACTAACAAAAAAAGGTAAACAAACACCTCGGACTGCCTTAGTCAAACCAGTTTCGAATTTCGTTTCGAACATCGGCTTCGTACGCTTTGGGCCGGTTTGACAAATTTGTGCGAGGCCCGACCCAATAAACATTCATTATACGGACATGCATATACACTGAAATAAGTGCATATATATCAGATTAGACATGCATATCTACCATCTAGATAGATATATGTATATATGTCTGCTAGATAGAGAGATATGCTTATCTATGTATATATGTGTCTGTATATACGAATATTCACTGTGTCGGGCCTCGCACAATTTAAACAAACCGGCCTTTTGTATAGAGTAAGATATATTCGAAGCTTCAATCCGTTCAAAGACAATGTACCTAAGATTATTACAAACTCACATATTCGTAATACCCTACCACGAGCTACACAAATACATACCTGGCTAGTATATGTACCGTTGTGAAGCTCAAGGTACAGTTCCCCAACCCAACGACACATGTTGTGCTGTTCGCTCTCCAGGGTGGAAAATAATACGTCAGGAGTTACGATGTTCATCCTGGAGGAGGAGGAAGAGAGATAAAAAAGGGCAGCTGTTAAGGAAGAAGATAAAAGGTTTAATAAAGGAATGTGGAGAAGGTGATAAGGGGAGACTTGGCGATAAAGAAAATCTTACGTGAAGAATAAAAATAAAATAAGGACTTAGAGAAATGAAAATGACTATGATATAGATGTGTGTGTGTGTGTGTGTGTGTGTGTTGTGTGTGTGTGAGAGAGAGAGAGAGAGAGATCATGACAGACAAAGACACAAACGAAAAGACAGTGAAAGAGAGACAAATAGAGACCCAAACGCATACCAAAAAACGCCACACCCTTATCATTTCCAAACTCGGAATCCTCGAGTGAAGGAAGAGAAAAGGTGCAGCGAGTGCGAGGGGCTTGGACACAGGAGATGGAAGTGACCTTTACGAGTGCAATGCTTGTCTGATCTACTATACAATGCATGGACGACCTTTCCAGGGGCTGTGATTCACCGGCCACGTCAGCTCTGGAAATCTACAGGCAGATGGGATGAACAGGAGGTAGGGTGGAGGAGGGAATGGGGATGGAATAAGAGCAAATATAAATGGTTTAAGGGGTATGGAGCTAGGAGTGTTAAGAGTGGGAATATAGTTTGGCTTGGTAGGGATAAGTTCTCTTTCTCTCGCTCTCTTTGTCTCTGATTCTGTCTCTCTCTCTCTTTTCTGATTGTCTCTCTCTCTCTCTCTGTCTGATTGTCTCTCTCTCTCTCTCTATCTCTCTGTCTGTCTTTCTCTCTTTCTCTCCTTCTTTCTATCTCCCGAAGGACGCTTACTTCGGGCATCCGTCAGCATCCTTGAGCCTCCTGGCCCTCTCCAGCATGTCCTGCGTGGGGCCGCCTCCTCCGTCGCCATACCCGAAGAGGAAGGCCGAGGTGCTTACTCGCCCTTTGTCCTCCAGGTTCTTCACGGTCCTCACTGCTTCCTCTACGCTATTTATAAATAAGGAAGAAGGGTAATGATAGTTATGAGAAAGATGATGATAATGTAGTATAACCTCATGTATGTGTTCTGTACATCACCATTGAATAGAAAGCAAGAATAGAAAGAACGTAGTTTTCCTAACGTGGTGTTCATGTTGTAGGAGTCGCCCGGCGGGAAGTGAGCGAGGACGGTGCTGCCATCTATCCCTTCCCACGTGAAGTTGTGGTGAGGAAATTTGTTGACCATACTCCAGCTCAATTTCTGAGTTAGGAAGCGGGACAGATCCATGTGCTGTGATTAGAAGAAAAGAGAGTTAGTCTTCATTATTTGATTTCTTATTTCACTCTATTTTATATCAATACTACCTAAAAGAGGCTTCTGGGACAACTTAGGGTAAAATGAACGCATTTTAAAAAGGTACCTTAATAGAAAAATATATCCTGCTCGGAGAATCTTAGTAAAGTCATTCCAGGACCTCATAAACAAAGCTATATCCACGAGTAACATGAACACGTTTCAGCCTCATTCCGTACCCTCATCAGTGCCGGAATCTGAGCCGAATACCCGAAGGTGTCCGGCAGCCAGAACTCTTTACAGGTCACCCCGAGTTCTTGCTGATAGAACCGCTGTCCGTGGAGGAACTGCCTGACGAAGGACTCTCCGCTTGGGATGTTGCCGTCCATCTCCACCCACGTGCCGCCCACGGGGAGGAACTTGCCTGCTTGCACCTGCAGTTTCACGCGCTCAAACAGCTCCGGATAATACTGCTTGCACCACGCCCATTGCTGTGCCTGGAGGAGTTGAGAGAAGGGAAAGAAGAAAAGAATTGGAAGAATAAGAACAAGAAATAAGATCAGAATGAAAGAGGAGCAAAGAAAAGTATCAGAAGAATAGGAAAAAATCAAACCAAAATTCAAATAATAATGATCAAACAAGAGAAAGGTAAACCACCTAACCCTAGAAGAGCATAAGGACCATTCCTGTCCTCCAACCCTAACCACCCCCACCCCCACCCCCACAACTCCCCCACTCCTACAACTCCCAGGACCACAAGGACCACCACCACCCTCCCCCCTCGTCCCACTCAACCCCTCACCCCCACCCCACCCAACTCCTCACCCATCCCCAACCCCACCCCACCCACTCAAACCCCTCCCACCCCCTTCTCCTCCTACCCCACCCACCCACTCACCCCCACCTCACCCATTCCCCACTCCCTTCCCCTCCACTCCACCTCCACTCCCCCTTCCCACTCCACCTCCCTCCACCCCCTTCCCACCCCTCACCCCCATACCTGCGACGCCACGAAGACCAACTCCGGGTAGTCCTCCATCAGCCTGACCTGCGACGCATAGCTCCTGCCGACCTTCCTCTTGGTCTCCGAGTAGGGCCAGAGCCAGGCGGAGTCGATGTGGCAGTTCCCGACGGCCGAGAGAGTGTGGGCTCTGGCACCGTTTCCCTTGGCGAAGTGGAGGTCGGCGAGCTGGCTGGCACCGCTGGGGGTTTCGAACAAGGGGTGAGGGTTTGTCTATTCATTCATTTATTTTTGTGTATTGTTATTTTCGTTTGGAAGTTGGTTTTAAGAGGAGGGGTGGTGGGAGTGGAGGAGGAGGAAGAGGAAGGAAAGTAGGTGGTGGTGGGGAGAAGGAGTATTAAGTAGTAGGAGAGGGGGAGGAGGGGAAGAGGAGGTGGGAGGAAGAAGGAGGAGAGAGGGAGGGAAGGAAGGGAAGAAGGGGGAAAGGAGAGGATGAAGAAGAGGAAGAGGAGAGGAGGAGGAGAGGAGGAGAGGAGGAAGAGGAGAGGAGAAGGAGAGGAGAGAGGGAAGAGAGAGGAGGAGAAAGGAGGAAGAAGAGGAAGAGGAAGAGAAGGAGGAGCAGCAGCAGCCATAACAGAAAGTGGTAAGGGAGGAGGAGGAGGTGGTGGAGGTGGTGTCTTGTAGATAAATTTGAAAAAATAGTGAAAGCAAAACGTCTCAAGTGGACGAAGAAAACAGAAAATACTGGAGGTTCTTACGAATCTACATAATAAGCT